AAACAAGTTAGTTTTTCTAACATGAGGGGGAGACATGATAAACAGTTGAGTAAAATGTTATGTGGAAATGAATTATCACTTGTACATCTAGATCCTCGAATAAGATAATATGAACTTGAAGTTCATAAAAGGATAATTCAGTTGCAATATATTGCAAAGCATGCCAGACGCATTTGCTGACCCAAAGAAAGTAACTATATTCTCATTGCAAATGCTCCTATTCAGTCCTAGAAGGATAAAATCTATGGTACGCTTGAAGCGTATAGACAAGTCGGTTTCAAATAAACTTCTTGATAAAGAAGATGAGCAAATGATCTAAATGATCATAATAAAGGAGGCAAGTGATCTAGAAGATCACATGACATAACACTTCATAAAATCTCATGAGAGATTCAGGCACCTGAATATATGAATGAAGAGATCTCTATGTTATGTCTTTATGAAAAATAAGGAGGTTGGAACCGATATAAAATGTTTGTCGACGACATCTATAATAGCGCTAAATATATATATGAGGATCTTAAGTCTGAAGAAACAATTCAAGTAGAATTTGGTTTCATATGAAGACATGTAGTTTTGGACATGTAGTTCAAACACTTGAAAGTATAAAGTCAATGATATGTGCAATCAGTTTTCGGTATCTTATATGTCTAGCATGACATGAAAACTTGATATGCATCTAAAGTCTATTATATGGCTTATATGACTTAACAATCCGTGAAGGATTTAAATTGCTTAAAGCATATAGAATTCATGGTCATGAAGTACTACATCCTCAGTACAATTTGTGCACAAATGTATCTTGCTATAATTATATGCATGATAATATGATAGCAAGAGTTTTCACCTCTATGTGAAGATATTGAATTGACGATTCCAACAAGATCATATGAAGACAATACATCTATTAGGGATGATGATTTCAAGGTGAAACAAATTCGTTCAAGTTAATATGGCTGACTTGTTTATCAAATCTCTACCAAAGATCTTTTGAAGATGGTGCACAAGATTGGAATGCAAATGTTTAAAGATGTGAATTGATGCTCTCATCAGGGGGAGTTAATACGCGTTGTACTCTTTTTCCCTTACAAGGTTTTGTCCCACTAGGTTTTTCTTGCAAGGTTTTTAACGAGGCAACCAAAAGGCGTATTATTAGATATGTATACTCTTTTTCCTTCTCTAGAATTTTTTTCCCACTGGATTTTATTTTAGTTAAGGTTTTAACGAGGCACATTATCTGTTGAATAGACATTCAAGGGGGAGTGTTATAAATAAAATTATATTTATGGTGAATGTCTATATTTAGAGAGATTCTAGGGTTCATTGCTTGGTGGCTAAGTCACCCTCTCCCTATAAATATAGGGTTCTATTCTATTGTAACTCATCCCAAATCAATAAGAATTCTCTCCCTCTACTTTTCTCTGCAATACTCTTCTTCTTCTTTTACTGTTTTATAACAAATTATTATTATTATTATTATTATTATTATTATTATTATTATTATTATTATTATTATTATGCATTCTTATCACTTAATAATGACTAAATAAAAATATCACGTGCTAGTAACTAAGTTTAAGTCTTACCGATGCTCCTTGGGAGAAATTCAAAAATAATCAGATTTACAAGTGGTCGTTCAAAAATAGCTTAGTTTTAAAAGTAATCGGCATCTAGACACTTTTCATGTAAAGATAAATGTGAGCATAAACACTGTTCAAAACCCAAAAAATACGCCAGTATATTATGCTGGAGTTCCAGCATAAGTATACTTGAATTCCAGCATATTATACTGGAGTTCCAGGATAAGTATGCTGGAGCTCCCGCATAGTATGATGGAGTTCCAGCATAAGTACACCAAAACTCCAGCATAATATACTGGAGTTCCAGCAAAGTATACCGGTTCAGTATAATATGTTGGAAGTTCATACACAAGTACTCGAATCTCCAGTATATTATGCTGGAACTTTTCGTGTGTTGGAGTTCCAGCATAATATACTGGAAATTCATACACAGGTGCACCGAACTCCAGTATATTATGCTGGACCGGTCTCTTTTGCAGCAAAATAGTGGTTATTTTTCATTGACTTGGTAAACGCTGACTATTTTTGAATGATCAGTCCGAAAACTGGCTAGACAGTGCTATTTTAACATGCTCCTTGCCAAAGATCTTTTTTACGCTTTGGCTAGTGAAAACAAATTAAATTTAAACATAATGTTTAAATGAGATAATGCACGATTCAACAAATTATTGTTCATTGTTAAACACGCCCAACTACCTACTCATTAGTCCCCACACCTCATTTCATTCTTCTCCTCTCTCTCTCTCTCTCTCTCTCTGCTTAAGCCTTCACTCACCAGTTGTTGTTAGTTTGGTGAAACCCACCCAATTCATTCTTGTCCCTTAAGCTAATTTATTTCAGATCCTTTTACTTATACACCCACCAAGCGTTTGTATTTTTTCTAGAGCTATCTATTGTAATCCTTCGTTTGAATTGTAAAGAAAGAGAACATGGCAAGGAAGAAGATCAGAGAGTATGATTCCAAGAGGCTTCTCAAGGAGCATTTGAAACGCCTTGCTGGCATCGATCTTCAGATCTGCTCTGCTCAAGTAACTCTCTTTTTCCTTTTTACTATTCCTATACTATGTTATTGATCTCCTTACTGTCGAATTGTAATGTAATTTTCGGTGATTAGTTTCTTTATTGGTATTTGCAAATGGGGTTTGATCTGTGCGTGTTTTCTTTTTCTTGTTGTATGACCACTTAAGCTCGAATCTGCTTTCCGACCGTTAAAGTTGAATTATTTACTCGTCGTTATGATCAACAGATTGCATTTGTGAAGTTCTCTTCTGGGTCATTGTCCTTTGCCACTATCCCAACTCTTACTCTATTAGACTTGCTCCAACAAAATATTTTTCTTCATAATGAAATAGCTCTTTATCTTGCAAAGTACATCTGATACAGCTGCAGAAGTTGAAAGTTCATTACTGTAGAAGATAATATACTAAGTGAATTGGATTTTGCAATTTTCATTTGTATCAATCATCTTCCCAACAACAGAAAATTTTAGATTCGTGATGAATCCCTTCCCATTCTAGATGTACAACGCTTCTTTCTTTCTTTCTTTTTAAAAAAAATTTTAACATCATATCTCAGATCATTTTCCTAGCCAGAGTTCTCATGCAGAATTATTTGGTTTTTGATAGGTGACAGAATCTACAGATTTTACTGAGTTAACAAACCAAGAACCATGGCTCTCATCGACAAAGTTGGTTGTAAAACCAGACATGCTGTTTGGGAAGCGTGGAAAGAGTGGCTTGGTCGCATTAAATCTGGATCTAGCAGCAGTTGCCGAGTTTGTCAAAGCACGACTTGGGGTGGAGGTGAGCTGAGGTTTTAAGTGTTTTGAAATCTGTTACTTCTTATTGTCTTATAGTCATCTCACACGTCAATTCATTTTTAGGTTGAAATGGGTGGCTGCAAGGCACCTATAACAACATTTATTGTTGAACCATTTGTTCCCCATGACCAAGAATATTACCTTTCCATAGTCTCTGAAAGGTTGGGGTGCACTATTAGCTTTTCAGAATGTGGAGGCATTGAGATTGAAGAGAACTGGGACAAGGTTAGTTGGTACAGAAAGTTTACTCTTTTTGCTCGTCTAACAACTACTATTTGTTAGTTTTTCTTTTAAAAATGTAACAACCAGATTTTATTTATTTCTTTAATATACAGGTCAAGACAATATTCCTTCCAACAGAAAAACCTATGACCCTAGAGGCGTGTGCTCCACTGATTGCTACTCTGCCCTTGGAGGTGATCTAAAATTTTAATTAACTTTTGTTTTATCCTTTTATTTTCCTTTTAGAATTAGTCACTTGTCTCGATTAAGCCAACATGAGTCTGGTTGTAATAGGGAGAAAGGTTTTCTAAAACGCGAGGTCGTCGATAACAACCCCTAGAAAGCTTGCTATTGTATTGTGCATTGTTGGTAATTCTTGAGGATAGTTATTATAGGTTGTATTATTGTGTATCTATCATTTCCGATATTCATTCTGTGAGGGAAATTGTTTATATATTGGTCTACTTATTGCTGGACTATCACTTCTGTACTAATAAGTATTTTGACTTCAAAGATTAAAGCATTTGACTACTAACATCTCATCTACCTTCATGATACTTGAGCTAAGTTTCTGGTTGACTCAGGTACGGGGAACGATTGGCAATTTCCTAATGGGTGTTTTTAATGTGTTTCAAGGTATGCCATGCTTTACGATGATTAGATGTTTCTTACATGCATTTGTGTTCTACTTTTCTCTTTCTTTTATCTTTTGGTGCTATGTTTTAGATAAGTGCCAGTGACTTTATGAGGAAAACGTAATTTTGTTTATTGTTATAAGCAGATGAAGAGGAAATTAAAGTTCCTTCTGGTTTATGTTAAACTAGACCTGTTCTTGATAGCTAGTTTTCTCATTATATTGAAATAGATTTTGTTGACACCATTATTCTCTAATTTTATCTCATTGATTATACAACATTGTTGCTTTGTCATTGATATTCCCCAGATCTCGATTTTAGTTTCATAGAGATGAACCCTTTTACGCTTGTAAATGGGGATCCATACCCATTGGATATGAGGGGAGAGTTGGACGACACAGCGGCCTTCAAAAATTTTAAGAAGTATGTGTTTTCACTAGCTTTCCGCATGTTGAAGTGCCTATTCTTGTATTACTTTTTTCCCCTCTTAGGAAGGTGTCTAGAAGAAGAAAAATGGTGATCTTTTAATTCCAGATTTATATAACAGTGTCTCATCCCTCTATGGCTTTTCAGGTGGGGAAGCATTGAGTTTCCTCTGCCCTTTGGAAGAGTTTTGAGCCCTACTGAAAGCTTCATTCACTCTTTGGATGAGAAAGTAAGTTCAATTATTCGTCTTCATCCAATGGTGTTCTGAGGCCAGAGTTATCAGATTGACTTGTATATTCTTGTCCAAATGATTTCGTTAGAGAAAAACATTATCTTGGATTTACTGTCGTGAACCTATCCTGTATACTGAACTACTGGAGCAAGGCTCCATTATAATCCAAGAAAGTTGTGTCCTTAACGATGTTGAATGGTTTATCTGTGATACTTTTCCGTTATTCAACATTTATTCTGTGCTGAGGGCATGGTACTATATGGACTTGCGTGCTGGGGGTGGGTAGGGTTCGGGTTTTATGAGATCCTGTTTTAAAATTTTCTGTCTTGAATGTTTATGAAGGTAGAAAAGATCTATTCTTAAACCTTGGCGGCAGGCTATCATCCCTGCCCGCCTGTAAATTTGTTAATATGTGGACATTGACTGTACAAGCTGTTAAAAAACATTAGATATGGTTTGATCCCCGTTGTTATACAGTATTTTGAACTACTTGACTATCATGCTTTTCGGTAAATTTTAAGCTTTCTGCCTTTCTAATGATCCTTGCTCTTATGGAATGGAGCATAATATCTGCTGTCTTTCCGTTAGTTATGTTTTATCTTGATATCTTGCAGACTAGTGCCTCCTTAAAATTCACAGTTTTGAACCCAAAAGGCCGTATCTGGACAATGGTGGCTGGAGGTGGTGCAAGCGTTATATATGCTGATACAGTAAGTATATTCAGAACTTATGATGCAACACCTTGATGCGGGGAAGCATTATCTCTCTTGTCATTATTCCTCTTGCATGCAATGTCAATTCTGATAGTCTCTGTTTATATACTCTGTTTTTGATATCTTAATCAGGTAGGGGATTTAGGTTATGCCTCTGAGCTTGGTAACTATGCCGAGTATAGTGGGGCTCCAAATGAAGAGGAGGTTCTGCAATATGCTCGAGTGGTTCTAGATGTATGAACTTGACTGCTCTCTCTTTCCTGGTCAACATGCCCATGTGGCGTTCATCATATTTTAACTTAACCAGTGTCCACTTTGATGCTTTTGTAGTGTGCTACTGCAAATCCTGATGGCCGTAAGAGAGCTCTCATTGTTGGAGGTGGTATTGCTAACTTCACCGATGTTGCTGCTACTTTCAATGGGATTATTCGGGCTCTCAGGGAGAAGGTTGGCTGTGCATTACCATTTAGACTGCAGGTTGTTTAGTTTTCCTATAGATAAAAGGCAGTAAAACTATATTATCCTTTTAAACTGAACAGGAAGCCAAGCTAAAGGCAGCTAGAATGCACATCTATGTACGGAGAGGTGGTCCAAATTATCAGACTGGACTAGCCAAAATGCGTGCCCTGGGAGAGGAACTTGGAGTTCCCCTTGAGGTATAAAATCAGTCTTTGTTGGCCAAAATATTTTTTCCCTCCTTTATTATAGGATTACTACAACAGTCCCTGAATTTCGATTATAGCACATAATCCTTTTAACAAATTTTAATGCGCGTCACAAAAACTTGTCATCTAATGGAAAACTAACAATGGAACACTGCAACCATTAAGGTGAAAGTTCCACATAAAATCTTGTGCTTGTAATAAAAATTAAATGACTAAAGAATCAAGTCTTTGGCGCTTGTTGCTCAGTATTTCGACCCATCAGAAGGTCCTGAAAATGGATGTTCGAGAAATTTTTTTGTGTCAATGAAATTTGAGGATTAAAGCTCATTAACCTTATTAGACAAAAAGAAAGGGATATAAATCTGCATCTGTGCTGTCATCTGAATTTGCCTTTATTTGATTCTAGGGATTCTATTTTCCTTATAGAATCTTCCCAACCACTCACTCATTTTTTCTGAAGTTTGGGGTTGTCCATCTAGACTACAACAGGTTTCCAGTTTGAGTATAGGAATGTCAACTAATTGCGCTGATAAAGGTATAGGATCTGTGATCCGTATAATTTATGAACGCGCAAAGGCGCCCTTACCTGTATTGTAAATACAATATGTACCTACTTCAAATTTTCAGATAGGATAGGAGAAAAGTAAGAGATGAGTATAATTGGTGTTGATTTTGCTATTGCAGGTTTATGGACCAGAGGCTACAATGACTGGCATTTGCAAACGGGCAATTGATTGCATTATGTCTGAAGCTTAGATGATGTTTACTTTTGATTCATTCATTCAACAATTCCAAGCACAATATGAATTTGGTGTATTCTTCATTAGTGACCAAGTCATGATCCGCAAATCAGAATACTTTTGTTGCACTCTTGAAATTTCCTGCAATTAAAAAGAAACTTTTTTGGATTTTCATTGGCCTGTGATTATAGGTCCTGCAGTTTGGACTATTTGGAGCATTGACCCGCCCCAAATAGTTTGGATAAAGAAAGCTTTTCGATAATGTAAAAATTTTGTAAGCTTTTTCTTAAAAAATCAAAACACTAGGACTCCTTCTGTGCTTCATGGGTATGTTTCTTTTTTTTTTTTTTTAAAAAAAAAAAAAAAATCTTTCCTTTATTGTATCCACAAGGGATTGACCCCTCCAGTGTTTCAGCCCTCAGTAATATTAATATTTAATGCCGTTTTGCTTTGGTAGGTGGTTGGAGTTTAAATAAAATTAAATCTAATAGTAATAAACTATAATTAATCAAGTGCAAGAAAGCATTTCGTATATGGAAAAAAAAGTCTCACTTCTTGTGTTGTTATGGTGTAATTTATTATTTTTGGAAAATATTTAAGTTTATGTATATTGGAAATACTTTTTTTACATTATTAGTACGATATAAAAAATTTAGTATATTACATTATTAACTCGTTGTTACCATGATATGAGCTGCAAAATCAACAAAAGCTTGTGGTATTAATATTACCATATTAGTACTAATTTTAGTTTCACAAGTCTATTCCGAAACCGCAAGGAAACGGGAATGTAACGAGCGAAAGCTTAATACAACACAAACAATAAAAAGTAATTAGTGTAAGGTCTATGAAAAATATTTACACAATATCACTTAAAAAGTAAGTACAAGTAATTTTCTTTACAAAAATTAATTAGATCTTAAGAAAATGGAAAGTATTTTTTTCTATAATAGATGAAGTATAATTTTTTTTTACACGATCTTTCTATTAACCTATTGTTGTGTTCCTCTATAAATACGAATACGAGTCCCAAGCTAAAGGTAAAAGTAATTAAGTTTTTTTACTTTCTTCCTAGCAAGCTTGTGCAACAAACAATGGCTATGGTCCTATTAGTTCCCTCTTCTCTTCTCACAATATTACTTGTAATCATATTAGTACTAACTTCTCCTTCCACCACCCTCTCTAACCTATCAGATGCTCCTACAAAAACACAAATATTAACTCCAAATATTATTATTACCACGTTATTAGCTCCTTCAACTAATTATTCCCATGATGTTAATGAAGATCGAAAACATGATCAGCTACTTAAAGATTTCCAATTACCTCGTAAACTGAAGCTTGACGGCGTTAATGCTCCGTCTCTTAATAATAATAAGAGTGATAATCATAAAAGCATAATCTTCAAGCTTATGTTTTGAGTTGGCGTTGTTGCTGCCGCTCTAGTTTTGGCCTTCATTGTGCTACTATGGTATTGGGGGTTTGGGATAGAATATGAATGTTTGCGATGTTGTATTTAGTATGACAACAAAATCATGATTCATTTACTTACCTTAGGAAATTTTGTACTTGAGCATTAATTAATTATTTTGCACATTACTTAAATTAGCAAGTACTATTAGTAATTGTGTTCAATTTACTTATGCATGCATGCATTCTCCTTTATTTTATCTTTTTTATTTCTTTCACGCCTTCTTTTGGATGGGACTAAGTATACCGTCATTATATACTACAATATTTTTGAAATCCTTCTCATGCAGTGAAGTGCTTCCCTTTTTTCAGTCATAAGTCAAACTATACAATTTTTTGTGTTTCGTTTGGAAGTATAATGTCATATCACATAAATTAAGCAGCTTATGATATAAAATATCATAATATAAACTAAAAGTAGCTCATGAGTCATGTATGGAATAACATTACGCTTCATGTTGAGAAAATATTAAGCAATTGCAAACTATTGATGTATGTCTGAAAAAATTATGGAAGTGTAAATTATTTGTACACCATAGTATGTATGTATATGTTATATATATATATATATATATATATAGTGCCGATTGTCTTGGGATAATTGAAGTGTAAATAAAGGCAAGCCTACTAATCAACTAGTAAGCGAAAGAAAGCATTTCTTATATGGAAAAAAAAGTCTACCCCCACGTGCCGTTAATGCTGTTATGGTGTAATTTATTAATCTTGGAAGGTATTTAGGTTTATGTATATTGGAAATATTTTTTGCGTTATTAGTATATATATATATATATATATATATATATATATATATATATCATCATTTTAAGTCAAGTCAAGACATTTCGCGGTATCTCTACGCCAATCTCCTTCTACTTTTAATGGGGTTGGATTTTTTAATGTTACAGGTCGAGTTCGAGATTAGTGTGTTTATTTGGGTCAGGGAGCTTTTTAGTTTAAAATAATTTTTAATAGAATAGGATAATTTCTTGCCAATCCTTCACCGTTTTTGCCTTTTTTTTCTTTTCTGGATATTTTAGTGAAACTACTGAATCCACTCGCGCTTCGCGCGAATTATTAGCTTTTACGAATGCCAAAATTTTTAAAATTTCTTTTGTCTTTAAATTCAAATATTTCAAGTTTTAACCAATTATATTATTATCTACACTCAGCTCTATACATATTATATATAATTTTCCATCACTTAGAGTCTTTAGTCTTCCAAAAATACTTGAGTGTTGTATATATAATCTATATAAATGAAACAATACTTTTAATTTTCTTAAAAGAAAGTAAAGAAGGAAAAGAATTTCAAAGAGAAAACTTCTTCCGTGCATACGTTCGCCAAATCAAGACATGGTTAATTCTTTGTACATTTATTAAGTGCACATAAATACCTAATTATATCAATTTGTCTTTTATTTCCATTTCTTTTCCTTTTTAAACCTTTTTATCTTTATCTTTGTCCTTTCTTCTCCCCCCTTTCTTACTTCTCTACCAGTTCATTTTCTTTAAAAAACTGTCGAATTTGTTATAAATAGAATTTTATTTATGGTGAATGTCTATATTTAGAGAGATTCTAGGGTTTATTACTTGGCGGCTAAGTCACTTTCTCCCTATAAATAGAGGGTTCTATTCCATTGTAATTCATCCCAAAAATCAATAAGAATTCTCTCTCCCTACTTTTCTCTGCAATATTCTTCTTCTTCTTTTATTGTTCACAACACGTTATCAGCACGAGACTCTAACCATTTGAGTAGAAACTTTGGGATTGAGCATAATGATTGTCAATTGTTNGATGGTGATGAATTGCGATTGGTCTAAACCTTCGACTAGCGACTTATTGCGACCTGCCCAGAATGCCCATACAGACTAAGACCTTATTCACACAGCGAAGAAAGGCCGAGTGGAAGGGGGCAGTCAGCTGGCTGCTTCTTTGTGTCCAAGAAGTACCTTAGCATGCCAAGTTTATGTCGAAGGTGCGGCTCAGGTAAACCTTCAATCTTGCAATCTCATCAACATCATCACCAGTGACCACAATATTATAAATATTTACTATGATCCGGCTCACTTTCTCACCTTTTATTACGAAATGAGAGATTGAAAAATATAAAGATGAGCCAAATCCCAAAAATTAATCCAACCATGAAAAATATTTTCGCAATCATGATAACCAGAGAAATTGTATGATTTAGTGCATATATATAAACTTGGAACCTTAAAAAACACACTTGAAAACGTTACATTTGTTAAAAGAGATGATTCTGCAAGGCCAAGAATGGGAAGAGAAGATAATGGAAGAAGAATATAGAGAAGAATACTTGAAATTTTGTGAAATTACAATACGTCGCTGGAGGATAACGCGACCTCTATAAAACATTTTTTATTTGAAATTCCAGCAGCTCGACTTTAAAACGAGAGCTAATGAACTGCCTGCATGTGGTAGGTATATGGAGTAATTATTGAGTTTAATTTAGCATACATTTGGTTTTTCTTTTTCCAGAAGTTGTGTTTTTGATGAGACTTGTGATTTGTTATATATGCCAATAATTGCTCCATTTGATATTTTCAAAAGCGCTGCACAACCAATGCTTTGTGCCTTATTTTTTGCTAAGTTTATATTGATTTCGAAGAAATTATAGATCTTTCCAAACAAATGTATTTGATGTGATTTTAGATCTAGCTCGTCTCTTTTTAATATTTTAAAATATGTCTGAACATCAAAAAGGAAAAAAAATAATGATCCTAGAAACAATGACTATTTAACACTAATGTTGAAGTGTAAGGTTTTACAATTCTAGACTGTCATTATAAGCAATCTGACATAATAAACCTGCATCAGTTAAAGGATCTAGGAACTATGTGATTTTTACATACTAAACAAAATAAATACATAAATCAAGAAACATACCCGATTCCATAATGTTTTCTTGATGATTCGCAGCGGAATTGTGTGACCTTTACATGTGATTAAGAAAGTTCTTTCTCTCTCTTTTCTTTCTGCTTTCTTTAAGAACAACAACGATGAAATATGTTATTTTTTGCCTTTTAAAGACAGAGAAAGAACTTCCCCAAGTAGCCAATATGAATTTAGCAAATTTAATTTAATATTTATTAAACCCAAAATAACTTGACCAATGCAACAACGTGGGCCATATTTTACATTCTCCCACTTGGCACACGTAAATTTATCACTTAATGGTTTAATAAATATTTGAATCATTATGCACATAAGTAATGCTAAATCCTTTTTTTTTTCCATTGAAAATGTCATTCGTTGTTATTACATAAATCAACTCATACGAGTCATGGCGGTAGTACATCCCTTTATTTGATATAGTCCCTTCCATGTACTACAATATTAGTCTATTATACAACACAACCGTTAAAATACATAATGGTCCAATAATGCTTAGAGTATTTTATCTAATCCAGAACCAATCATCGTCATTCTCAACATCATGTATACAAGAAGACAGGTATCGACAGAAAAATTTATATAAATGAGCTCAAAATGTCAATTGCATAAACACAATAAATTCTTTTCATAAAATAATTCATTGCTTTCAATGATGCCCATTCTTTCAACATGTTCTACAAATATTTTGGGCGGTAATCCTTTCATCAAAGGATCAGCAATCATAATTTTTGGCGATAATATGTTCAATTGACACTTTATGTTTCTGGACTTCTTCTTTAACGACAAA